ATCGATGGTAATTTTAATCTAGGAAATACAGATTTAATTAACGAACTAGAAAAAAGACTTTCAAAACTTCATATCTCAAACACTAACAATATTAATACTCTTACAAATGATGAATCTGAAAATAGTGATATTAATAGTGAAACAAATTTTGAAACTCTTGCTCAACAATTTATTAATTCAAATGATGATATTAGTCAACTCACTAATGACTTTTCAAATCTTAATAAAATTCATCAATCAAAGCGAAGCACTTTCGGAAAGAATCCAAAACCAACCATAAGAAATTATTGGAATAGGCCCTCTATTCCAGATATTCAACTATAAGAACGAACTTTTCAATTTGATCGTTCTCAATATGATGGTAATTCTGTTTATGAATGGAATGTTGATGGCCATTCTGAACATCAAATTATGAATATTGTACAAGAAATGACTATGGCTGCTAATGCTTATAAAGCTCATAATAATACTCAACTTCAAATTGTTAATATTATTACTTCTGGTTTTACTGGCAGTCTTAAAGGATGGTGGGATTTCTATATTTCACAAGAAGAAAAAGATTATATTTTATCTGCTAAGAAAACTATTATAAAACAAGAAAACAATCAACAAATACAAACGTTTGAAGATGATATGGTTAACACTTTAATTTTTGCTATTATCAAAAACTTTGTAGGAGATCCTACTACTTTTCAAGAAAAAACTTCAGAAATTTTAATGAATTTACATTGCAGAAAACTTACTGGTTTTAGATGGTATAAAGATAATTATCTTGTTAAAGTTTTTTCGAGACCTGATTGTAAAGAGTCTTATTGGAAAGAACGTTTTATTGCTGGCCTTCCAAAACTCTTTGCAGAAAAAGTTAGACAAAAATTAAGAGAAAATTTTAATAATACTATCCCTTATCAAAATTTAACTTATGGAGATCTAATAAACTGCATTAATAAAGAGGGATTAGCAGTTTGTGTTGATCTTAGGTTTAAGGAAAAGCTCAAAAAAGATAGAATTAACAGTAAAAATGAATTGGGAAATTTTTGTCAACAATATGGTTATCAGCCCTTGAATGGTCCGTCTACTTCAAAATCTAAAGTATATAAGAAAAGATCTTCAAAATATTTCAGGAAAAGGAATTATAATCTTCTAGAAAATTATAAAAAAGGCCAAGATTATGCGTCAAAATCTAAAAAACCTTATAAACCAAATTATAAAAAATCTAAAAGAAAATCAAAAGATATTATTATTTGTCATAAATGTGGGCGTAATGGTGATACAGCTAATAATTGTTATGCTAAGACAAAAATAAATGAGTTAAATGTTTCTGATGATTTAAAAGAACAAATAAGAAAAATTATTTTAAATACTGATTTAGATTCCGATGAAAGTATTTCTGATTTTCAAACAAATGATTTAAATATTCTCGAAAATACTACTTCAAGTTCAGAAGATTCTGATGTTTGCGAATGTATTGGTAAATGTCATTGTAAAAATTTAATCAATGTAATTACTAGTAGTTCTATTAATGTTCTTTCATAAGATGATAAAGATCTTTTAAACTCTCTTGATTCTGTAAAAGATAAAAATATCCAAGAATTATTAATAAAGCAGATGTTTAATAAAACTAATAACATAACTCCTGCTAATAATGAAAATTTTAATTTAAAAAATATATATGGAAGATTTACTGAAGCAAAGCCAATTTCTATGCAAGAACTTCAAGAAGAATTAAAAATAGTAAAACAAGAGATAAAAGAAATAAAAAATAAAATTTTAATTTTAGAAAAAGAAAAATCTTCTATTTTTAAAAACAAAAATATAGAAATTAATAAAGAAGAAGAAAATAAAATTGAAAATGTAACTATTGGTAAAATTATAAATAATCAAGTTTCTCAAAAATGGAACACTCAAATTACTTTAGTCAAGGATAATTTTAAAATCAACCTAACTGCTTTAATTGATAGTGGTGCTGATATGAATTGTATTCAAGAAGGAATTTTTCCTACATAATTCTATGAAAAAACTGCATCTAGACTTACTGGTGCCGGAGGTACAAAATTAATTGTAAATTATAAAGTTTCCGATGTTCATATTTGTAATAACCAAGATTACTGTTATAAAACTCACCTAATTTTAGTAAAAGATCTATCTTCTCCTTTAATTCTAGGAACACCTTTCATTACAAAACTATATCATTTTATGGTTCATGATGATGGTATAAGAACCAATGTTTTTGGAAAAGAAATTATATTTAAATTTTGTGAACCTCCTATATATTCAACGATTAATGTCCTTAATTATAAAACACAACAAGCCAAATATCTTATTAACGAAATAAATAGTGTTTGAATAACTAATCAATTAAATGATAATAATATTCAAAATAAAATAATAGGTTTAAAATTAAAATTTGAAAAAAATATCTGTTCTAATATTCCTAATGCCTTTTGGAATAGAAAACAACATATTGTAAAATTACCGTATATAAAATTTTTTGATGAAAAAGATATTCCTTCAAAATCTAGAACAATTCACATGAATAGTGAACTAGAAAGTCATTGTAAAAATGAAATTCAAGATTTAATAAATAAAAAACTCATAAGACCTTCTAAATCACCATGGTCTTGTTCAGCATTCTATGTTATGAATGCCGCAGAATTAGAAAGAGGATCACCAAGATTAGTTATCAATTATAAACCTTTAAACAAAGTTTTAGAATTGATTCGTTATCCTATTCTTAATAAACGAAATTTGCTAAAAAAACTTTATGATTCAAATATATTTTCAAAGTTTGATATGAAATCAGGATTTTGGCAAATACAACTTCATGAGGAAGATAAATACAAAACTGGTTTTAATGTTCCCTTCGGGCATTTTGAATGGAATGTAATGCCTTTTGGATTAAAAAATGCCCCTTCTGAATTCCAAAATATTATGAATGATATCATAACTCCTATAAGTAGTTTTGCTATTGCTTATATTGACGATGTCCTAATTTTTTCAAAATCAATTGATCAACATTTCAAACATTTAAATCAATTTCATGATTTAATTTATCAAAATGGTTTAGCTGTCTCTGCAGCAAAAATGCATTTATTTAAAGATGAAATTCGTTTTTTAGGACATGATATTGTCAAAAACACTATTAGACCTATTACAAGAAGCTTGCAGTTTTCTACTAAATTTCCTGATGAAATTAAAGATAAAAGACAACTTCAAAGATTTTTAGGATGTTTTAATTATATCCATGATTTTTTCAAAGATTTAGGGATTATATGTAAACCACTTTATAATAGATTAAAAGATAATTCTGAACCATGGACTCAAAAACATACATATATAATTAAATATATAAAACAAAAGGTTCCTACTTTGCCATGTTTAAATTTACCTCATCCCAATGCCAATATCATAGTTGAAACCGATGCTAGTGATATTGGATTCGGAGGAATTCTGAAACAAAAATTTGTTAACTCAAAAGAGGAACAATTGGTTCGATATTACTTTGGTGCATGGAATGATACACAAAAAAATTATTCAACTGTCAAAAAGGAAATTTTAAGCATTGTTTTATGTATTAAAAAATTTGAAGATGATTTATTTATGAAAAGTTTTTTATTAAGAATAGATTGTCAATCTGCAAAAACTATTTTAGAAAAAGATGTGAAAAATATTATTTCCAAGCAAATTTTTGCTCGATGGCAAGCCCTCTTAGGTAACTTTGATTTCGAAATAGAATTTATTAAAGGAGAAAATAATTCGCTTCCTGACTTTCTTTCTCGAGAATTTTTGCAGGGAAAATGAGTTTGTCGTCCTCTTCCAAACATGATGACAAGAAGCCCGTATCTCAAAAGCTTGTTCCATTTCAAAATCAAAATCGTTTTTCTCCTTTAACTCCTACTTCTAAGAATTCACAACTTTATTCTAATATCCTTCACTCAAAACTTGTTACTCCAAAAGTTACTTCAACAAACACGATAAGCCATTTTGTAAAACCTATCACTCCTCAAACTCAAAATTCTGTGACTCCTAGCCCTTCTACAAAAACTCCTTATGTTCTTAATCTAAATTTCTTAAGAGTTCAAATTCTTGAAGATTTTCAAATCCATAAGTTACATCAAGGTTTTCATATTCTCACAAATAATCTCTTTGGTCAAGGGAAAACCTTTTATGTTGATTCATATAAAACTCGAGAATATTATCAAGCTATTTTGCAAGAATCTGGTTCGGTCAATTTTGTTCATCGTTCTAATTCAAAAGAGGGAAACATTGATTTTAGCAAAGCTCATATCATCAAAATCATTTCTCCAGAAAGTTGGGTTCCAAACCTTCATTCTGAAAAACCTCTTATAAGTTATCCTGCTTATCCCAAATTTTCTTACTATGATTATCAAGATGTCTGGACTAAGGCGTTCTTTATTCGGAATTATTCACACTCATGGTTTATCTTCTTTGATTTGAACTTCAATTGTGAATACCCAAGATGGTTTATCAATTGGTACAAATATATGGGAATTCTTCCAAATTGTTTACCAAAAGAAATTTACGATGTATATCTCAAATTTAAGGAATTGTTTATTCAACAAATTCCAGAATTTGAATATATGCTACAATTCACTATGATATTCAAAGTTCCATGGATAATGTCTTGGACTTTTCATTATCAAGAAGCAAAGGATTCCTCTCCTCCCTGGCTTAATCGACAATTTCGCTCAAAATGGTGGGATAAAATGAAGATTTCTCAAGCCAGTGAACAAGCAGTAATTAAACATTATCAAGAAATATATATTCAAAAACCAGAGGTTGAAGCCACTTTTATCAAAAGTCTTCCTCAAAATGATGTGGATCTAATTGCAAGAATTAAAGATGATGTTACCTCTTCTCCTGAAGAACTTCAAAGCTTACTTCAAGAAATTCGCCAAACTCCATCAGTTTCTGACGATTCTCCAAAATCTATAAAGAATGGTTTATTTCAAGACGCTCAAGACCCCTTTTTTTTTGAATAAATGGTGACAAAGAAGAGCGTAAGCAGTTTGAAGGAAGGAGATATGAAGGGGAAGAAGGTGTTTGTTAGGGCTGATCTTAATGTGCCCTTGGATGACAGTTTTAAGATCACCGATGACACACGTATCCGCGCCGCCGTCCCTACTATCAAATATTTGATGTCTAATGGCGCCAGAATCATCCTCTCTTCTCACCTGGTACGTCCTAAGGGTGTTACACCAAAATACAGCCTGAAGCCACTTGTGCCTAGACTCTCTGAGCTCCTTGAAGTCGAGGTCAAGATGGCAAGTGATTGCATAGGTCCAAAAGTTGAGAAACTGGTGGCTGAGCTCCCAGAGAGGGGTGTTTTGCTTCTTGAAAATGTCAGATTCTATAAAGAGGAAGAAAAGAACGATCCTGAATTCGCAAAGAAGCTTGCATCACTAGCAGACTTGTATGTTAATGATGCATTTCGCACTGCACATAGAGCACATGCATCTACCGAAGGTGTTACAAAGTACTTGAAGCCTTCTGTTGCTGGATTCCTCATGCAAAAGGAGCTTGACTACCTAGTTGGAGCTGTATCCAATCCCAAGAAGCCATTTGCTGCCATTGTTGGAGGATCGAAGGTATCAAGTAAAATCGGTGTGATCGAGTCATTGTTAAAGAAGGTTAATGTTCTTATTCTTGGTGGAGGTATGATCTTCACTTTCTATAAAGCTCAAGGCCTCAAAGTTGGATCTTCACTTGTGGAAGAAGATAAACTCGACCTTGCAAAATCACTTCTTGAAAATGCCAAGGCTAAAGGGGTGTCTCTGTTACTCCCTACTGATGTTGTAATTGCTGACAAGTTTGCTGAAGATGCCAACAACAAGATTGTTCCAGCCAATAGTATTCCTGATGGCTGGATGGGATTAGACATTGGTCCAGATTCCATTAAGTCATTCAGTGAAACTTTGGATACTACTCAAACTGTTATCTGGAATGGACCTATGGGTGTGTTTGAGTTTGAGAAGTTTGCTGGAGGAATAGAGGCTATTGCAAAGAAAACAATCAACAAATACAAACGTTTGAAGATGATATGGTTAACACTTTAATTTTTGCTATTATCAAAAACTTTGTAGGAGATCCTACTACTTTTCAAGAAAAAACATCAGAAATTTTAATGAATTTACATTGCAGAAAACTTACTGGTTTTAGATGGTATAAAGATAATTATTTTGTTAAAGTTTTTTCGAGACCTGATTGTAAAGAGTCTTATTGGAAAGAACGTTTTATTGCTGGCCTTCCAAAACTCTTTGCAGAAAGAGTTAGACAAAAATTAAGAGAAAATTTTAATAATACCATCCCTTATCAAAATTTAACTTATGGAGATCTAATAAACTACATTAATAAAGAGGGATTAGCAGTTTGTGCTGATCTTAGGTTTAAGGAACAACTCAAAAAAGATAGAATTAACAGTAAAAATGAATTGGGAAATTTTTGTCAACAATATGGTTATCAGCCCTTGAATGGTCCGTCTACTTCAAAATCTAAAGTATATAAGAAAGGATCTTCAAAATATTTCAGGAAAAGGAATTATAATCTTCCAGAAAATTATAAAAAATGCTAGTGATCTTGTTGGAGTCAAAAAGCGAAGCATTGCTGTTGAACGAACGAAAGTTTTTTTTTTGATGATTTGGATCTCGATTCAATGAGTCAATGTAAATGATTCAGACGAGATTCAGAGGCTTCGTATGCCTTCGATTTCGTTAAAATGGTGTTGGAAAAATTTCGTTAAAATGGTGTTGAGGATTTCGTACGAAGGGAAGGAGAAAATTTTTCGTTAAAATGGTGCTCAAAAGTTTCGTTCAAATGGTGCTCTGTGAAATTTTCGTTACCATATTCACGAAGTGGGAAAGGAAATTGGGGAAGAAGAAAGCAAAGTTTCGTAAATGGCCCTTAAAGTTTCGTTAATTTGGCACTTTTTCGTAAGTTCAACAAAATTTCGTATCGTTTTGAAGAAAGGAGTAAGAGTTTCGTAAGCAGTCCCTATACTTTCGAATGTTTGGCAGTTTTTGTCCAACTTCGTCAATTGGGGTATTTTTCGAATGTTTGGAGGACAAAAGGCAGAACTTTCGAAATCAGTCATTGAAGTTTCGAAAGGTTGACAGTTTTTGCCCAATTTCGAAAATGGACTGATTTTGCTGAGAAAGTGAAGAATATTCATTTCAGGCCCCTGCAGTTTATGCAAATTGACGCTTTCTACCCAGCTTCAGAAAAGGGGGAGAGTTTGTCATTTTTGGCTGTTTTGGGCGCACCGGGTCATTGCAGAATTTAGAAATTGACAATTTCTACCCATTTTTGAGAAATTTTATCAAAGGCGGTCCGTGAACGAAGCTAAAAATTGAAGATTTTTCGGATTTTCCGGATTGAAGCACAAAGTTTATGCCACATGTTAAGGGGGAGTTTTGACACGAAAAATTCCGAATAGAGCACATTCTCTTTCCTTGATGGGTTTATAATCAAATTTCGATTATAAAAAGGGGGAGAAATTTATATGGAAATTCGAAGTTGAATTTTTCATATTACGCGACCTTGAAGACCGAAGTGACCTTGAATTTTTTAAGGTTATGAAATGATGTGATTAGAGATTCGGAAGTGATTTCGGTTCGAGATGGGTTTGGTTTTATTGAAGATTTGCGGGGTGTGTTTTTATGCTCAACTTTTTGGGTGATTATTTAGAGTTTGAGAAGCTCTTAATCATTCGTTGATGCTCGATTTGTATGGTCTCACATCCTAGAGCCCAAATTGAAGAATCATGGAAGAATTGAAGATTTGAAGTTCATTTCGACATGTGTCACCCTTGAGGCTCGGATCGCGTAGTTGCTCGATTTTGGAAGATTTGAAGTGGTTCATCCATTCCTAACTTTGAGGGGGGAGAATGTTGGGGTGCAAAGTTATCCATGTATGACTTTGTAGATGTGTTGACTTTTGTAGACCCACTTGCATGTGGTGCTTTAGCCTTGTGACATGAGAGTTAGAGAGTGAGAGAGAGAGACATGTATACACCTCTATATAAGGTGGGTTTAGTCTACTTGTAGAGGTGTGCTTGAGAGATGTAAAATTGAGTGTGTAAGTGTGTGTTATTTATGTAGATTTAGATCTAGATCCCTTTTTGTAACACCATACATAATCGAATGCATCTCTTAAACACCGAAATCACCATGTTCTTTGTGTGTTCTTAATACCGCAAGCCAAACCAATGTTCATAATTCACATCACTTGGCATGCGTCACAGTCAAGCTGGAGTCTTCTCAGTTCCCACTGCCAAAAGTACAACCTAAAAAAACATGAAATCCATAACTGTAAACATAAAGCTTGGTGTGTTCCCTTAAAATACCATATATCAACATTATACATACAATACACACAAACAAGGCTCATAGTCTACACTTCGAAGGGCCTATAGGCACAAGGCCAACATCCCAAATATCTAAAGAACTTCCAACCATTCTCCTAGTGGACATAATGGCTTACAATCAACTCCCCTTAGGTTCCAATATTCTCTTAGTAGACTTGAAGGATTTCAGCCAACTTCCCCTAGGTTTCAACATTCTCCTAGTGGGCATGAATGCTTACTGCCAACTTCCCTTAGATTCCAACATTCTCTTAATGGGCATAAAGGCTTACTGCCAACTTCCACTAACTTCCAACATTCTCCCAACAAGTAGACTAACTAGCCTAAACACATAATTATACCCTAAAAATACTTATCGAACCAATCACACTCAACATACAATTTCATACATAATTTATTGAGAACACTCACATGAGTCTCATAGCAGAATCTTAACAGCAACATCTACATACGAAACAAGTAACACAACCCACCTAATTCCAATCTGAGACCAAATCTTAGTCAAATACTTAATTTCATCAAGGTTTGACCAAAAGTCAAACTCCTAGAAATGACACCAAAGGGACCCAAACTAACCAAAAGTAACTAAATTCAACAATACTCGGAGATATATGCGTAAATCATGAAAAACTTGGATCTTTAACACTTACAAAGGTCCAAAAGTTTAGAGAAGGTTGAAATTTTCAAGCTCTTGCTTCCTTGTAAAATCTATATTGAATCCCTCTCCAAAGAACATAAAACAAGCACGGAAAATAAATCAAATATATAGGATGATCTAAAAACAGTTAAAGGAGGTCGGGGTTTCACTTAGGGTTGCCCTTGAATGATGGAAGTTTTAAATTGACAAAACCCTAGAATTTAGTGCCTTTAAAGAGGGACCAAATCCCGAGGCTTCAAAGGCTTGGCTAACCACGCATGACATGTCGCTCTAACGTGCATCCATTTCTTATAATTTCTTCAAGATTCTCTCTCACCTCCTCACATCCATCCTTCCTTGAACGTTAAAACTGTTGGATTAGGTGTCTAATCTAATAACTAAATTAGTATATACTTGAATCATTAGCAAAGTCCTTATGGGTTGCCCTCAGACCTAGTAATTGAATAGGATGATTTTTAGAGAGTGAGATAGAGAGAGAGAGAAAGATAGAGATTGATTTATTATATGATTAATAAATAACAATAAATTAATTTATTAATATGTTATGGAAATAATATATTAATTAGAAAGAGTATTATTTAATTAATAATTAATCAGAAATTAATCGGAATTAATTTTAGGATTAATTAGATTATTTAAAAGTACAAGGGTTGAAGTGTGATTGTTTAATGGTTTAACAAGTTTGGGTTCCGGAACCTTCCTTGGAAGGGTGGACAAAAATTAGGGTTATTCCAAGGTTTATGGAATATTCCCTACAGAAAAATAGGAACCTGGATAATTACCAATTTGAATTAATATTATTTTATTCAAATTAGGGTTATCTAGGGTTTCTGAAATCTACTATATAAGGACCCCTTAGCCTTTAATTTTCGGCCACCTCTTTATTAAAAAGGCATAGCCAAAATTTACATTTCCCCTATCCCCTCTCTTTAAGCCTCCTTGTTGCTAGGGTTGGGTGTGAACCATCAGAGGCACACGATTTCTAGTGGTAACTTCCAAGTGACTACAAAAAGGATTTTGATTGATTTTCTACAAGTATAATCAAAGGGTACGTAACCCTAAACCTTTTTATTATTTTCAAAGGGTATAGATTAGGGTTTAACCATGACTCTTAGAATCCTACAATATATATATATATATATATATATATATATATATATATATATATATATATATATATATATATATGTCACCCTATAGCTAAAATCGGTTACTACATATGTTCTAAGAGTTCATTTGAGCCGATTTATGCAAGGATATTCTCTCTCAAAAGTCCTCCTTTGTTCATGGTGTTTGTGAACCATTTGAGGCATCACATTTGAGGTGCTAAGTTCTTAAAGGCCAAAACTACAAGCTACAACAAGAGGTAATTCTATAACTCATTTCTATGTCATTTATGTCAATTGTATGCTAGTTGTAGGCTTAATGCTTTGGAAACAATATTGCATTTATAATTAGAGAAAACATAGATCCAAAGCATTTAGGGTTGTATGTACACCATGTTGGATTAGTGTCTAAGCCTGTAACTATATTTGGTAAGTACTTGACCCGGTTGTGCATGGTCCTTTTGGGTTGCCTTCACCATAGCAACTTGACAGGGTGATTTATGAAGAGAGAGAAGATATTATGATTTATTAATATATTATGAGAATAATATATTAAAGGAATAATTATATTATTTAATTAATATTAGTCATAGATTAATTAGGAATTAATTTGGTGACTAAAAGAGATTAACTGAATAAAGGGGCTTAAACTGTCAAATGTGTGATAGTTGTATTTTGGGCTAGGAAACCCTCATGGATAAGGGGTGGACGAAATTATGGGAAGGATCCCATCAAGATTTCATCCAAGTCCTTACTCCAGAAGGTTCCATGGGCTGCTTGGTGATTAAGTTGTCCATTAGGGTTTTGGCTGAAACCCTAGTAGCTCACAGTATAAATAGACCCCTTGGGTTATGGAAATCGGCTACACTTGCTTCCTTGGAACCCTAGGGCTGATTTCTACCTCTCTCTCCTCTCTCCAAATCATCCTTTTGC